AAAAAAAGAGGAGGTTCCCAATTTGACTGTATGGTTTTTTTTGTATGTATGTTATGCGATAACTCCAGTATTTGTGAACCGATTTTTATGATTCTTTTTTTATTGGAAAGAGGGTACCTCCATAGTGGTCCCATTTAATTTTGAAGAAAATCACCAATCAATCATTCTTCAATTCAAGAGAAAAAAATCTCTCAATATACTTTGAGTAGTGAGAACCGATTTCTTTTATCTCCTGTGTCAATTCCCGTATAGTGGCGAAATAGGGGAGAAATCCGCTTTTGGTAATTGTGTGTAATTCCACATAGTTTTGAGGTCGGTTTTTCTAGTACTCTGTACTGAGATTACGTAATTGAGTACTAATCCTAATACTAACATAGGTTATAAGAGGTCATGTTACTAAGTTACTAACTTGTAAGGACTACATTGTCTGAAATGAATTATTTTTATTTTATTTTATTTTTTGTAGATGTTCTGTAAAAGATTCAAAATCATAATGTCGTGATTTATCTGTAAATTCCTTTTCATGAATAGTTAATTTTTCTTCTTCTTATCTTCTTCAGCCTTTAGTCACTCACTGCTGAGTGTTGGTCTCCTCATTCTCTTCTGTCTTGGGTTATTTACATCCTGGTTATTCTGGTTACTTTGATTATATCGTTCGTCCATCTAGGCTTCTGGCGACCGATGCTTCTGGTACCAGTCCTCGGTCTTTACTCTTCTGCTCCACCGTTCATCGGTTCTGCGGCGATGTGACCGTCCATCGCCATTTTCTTTGCCCAATTATAACTCCTTGTCGGGAAGCTTAATACGACTCCGGATTTCTGTGTTTTTATTCTATCACTCAGAGTGACATCCTATTACACGTCACACGTCCTAGAAGCACACAACGCGGCGGTGTTCCTAACGAATGTCGTATTTTTTTTATATATTTAACAAAATGGTGGTTAAAAGCACAGCTGCACGTTACTATCGTCGTGTGGCTTCAGAACACAGTGACAGGTTATATAAAATATATATATTACCTGTATATTTTTAATCCAATCTTAGTTATTTTTGGAATTGTAATGAGTGTACCTTTACGTGCTAGCTTGCATTAGAAACAATATAAAATGCTTTCAATTTCGTATTAGAAGTAATAAGTTGAAATAGATTCTGTTAATTATTCTGAACGGTACACCTACACCGTATCACCACAAGTGTAGTGTAAAGAACATACAGTGGGACATCGCCTTTGAAGTCTCGCGAAATGCGTCATACCGCAGGTAACGGTGACAACCGTGCGTTTGTTGGGACACCCGTCCTACTACTATGTCCATATTGGGAATAAAAAAAAAAGATGAGTGGCTTTCTCACAAGCCGTTTTATAGTATGTATATTTATAGCACATTTTTATGTTTTTACTTTTTATTTCAAAACTGACAAAATTTTTTCCAAGGTTGTCCGATTAATGGGTATGGGATTAGGAAAGGCTTTTATCTTGTTCTGGAAAACCAGAACAGGATAAAAGTCTTCTCTAATCCGCGCCTAATCGCATAAATGTTACATAAAATGCTTTGCAGCTAACTTTAAAATAAATAAATAACCAACTATCTCCGATCTTCTTCTTTGCAATGATTCCGATTCTTTGTTATTTATAGACTACAGATCTTTCTGAGACACAAAGCCATCTGTTGATAGCCGAATAAATAGAGTTCTGCCGTGATATCTTAAGTTTAACATTGTTCGGCAGTGATCCGAGGTTTGGAAATTGATCAAAACTTTAATTGGAAAACACATATTAATTATGTTTGTACAAAGTTAAGATACATTATAAGTAAATTTTATCAAATAGAATATTGAATAAGAGGACGTTGCTTGTGGTGTACTATGCACTGGCTCACTGTTGATTAGCTGGTCGTACTTGCAAAACCTATATCAAGGATATTAAAAAATTAAGTTGATTAAAAAGTAAAATTGTGATAACAATAATAATGTGATAACCATTGAAAATTATTATAAGAGCGAGGATAAATTATTGGTGTATAACAGGTGTAACACAAAAAGAGTTAGAGAAAGGAAATTTAATAAATGTAAAGTTAACAATAATTATGGAGAAAGAACTGATAAATATATAATACCAAAAATATACAAAAAAAATTACTGGCTCAGTGAAAGTAAGGAAGTTCGTAAAAAAAGTTTTGAAAAAGATAAAAAAAATATATTGCCACATGATGAAAATGTTACATTGTACATAATTATTATAAATAGAGGCAGTATTATTTAGCAAAGGCAGTTTTAGTTTAGAAAATTAGCTTTAATGAAATGTGGCTTAATTAACGAAAACAATACACATATATGCAATTGAAAAGAGCGTTGTCTTGCCAACAACCTGATGCCCAGATTGGCAAAGTCTTTAGTGTGAGTATAATTATAGATCTGTGGAGAAATACATAACAAAATAACTTAAAATTGTCCCGAATTTGGTCGGTGATCGACTCAACATGACTGTTAGCTGGTGCCCGCGACTTCGTTTGAGTAGAATAATGTACTTCGAGTAGCCTCTACCGTAGGCTACTCGAAGCTTACTTGAGAAATGATTGGTTCTCTATACAAACCTTCATCCTCTATTTCACCCTTTTTAAGATTTATTTTTGTAACAAAAGTAGCCTTCGTCCTTCTCCTAGGCTCCATCTATTTCTATACCAAAGTTCATTAATATTGGTTCAGCCGTTTAGACGTGAAAACGTAACAGACGAGTTACTTTCGATTTATTAGTTTGGATGACTTACATGTTTAGTTATTAGTACTGTCAATGTGAATTGTGCAAAATAAATAAATGACTTTTCACCTCTCTAACTCGGAAAAAATGTCTTTGTCATTAGAAATCTGCATGCAAAATCGATTTTGAAATTCGAACTTGTCGATGGACTGTGGTGCACCTAATTTTTCTTTTGATGAAAAAAAAAACATAATGACACGTTCAATTACGCGATTTGTCGTACATTATTTATGTAATATAAATCCGTTGGCATATTTTATTCTTATTATAGTTGACATTAAATTGACAACGATAACTAATTTTGTTTATTAAAACTGATTTGTTAATCTGTTTTTCTTTTATCTATCATTTTCCTCGATATAGTGAAGTCAAAAGTTGTGTGTTTCGCTCGGCAGCAAACTTGTTTTGTGTCACGTGCCTTGAAACCCTCGTTATGCTCAGGATTCTATTTTTGAAACACGAGCAAAGCGAGTAGTCTCCTTTGTTTCCAACTTTGCAGCCATTCGAAACAAATAACTATTTTTAATCTGTATTTTTTTATGATGTCGAGTGATGTAAGCGTCACGCCTGTCTATAATAAAGTTGCGGTGCCACTTAGAACTTTAAATTGCACAAATATCTGCACTGACCCTGAGATATAAGTTGACAAGCCCTTATGTACCTGAATTTTCACCCTTTACCCTTCAAAGCCGGAACGCAATAATTCTCACATTACTGCTTGACGACAGAAGGAAGGAAAGTGGCAGTAATTCCATGACCGAATTCTTTCACTAATGCTTCTAGAACTGTAATCTTCTTTGAGTAAAAGATTACCTACTGATTACCACGTGCGGTACCCACCGGAAAGATTATTTTGATTAATATTGCATTACCTCTGAAACAATAAATTCTATAAAATTGTAGATAACTAATGAATATAATGATTATTATTTATTTGTATAACAATCTGCAAGATTTTTGTATACCTACATGATGCTCAGATTGGTTTTCAGCAGGAATTGCCGACCTAATCGGCAATAAAGTGTATGAAAAGCCCACCGTTCACTACCGTACGGCCAGCGATCCTACTTTGTTTCATAGACTTTTGTTTATTGAAGAAACCAACAACCTATTACAATCAAATTATAAATATAATAGTTTATACTAATACTAAGGTCACATTATTTTCATGCGCCATATTTGACAAATCTATGAACTGAAATAGTTAATAGATTTCTCAAAGATGGCGCTATGGAAAAAAGTAGTTAAAACCAAAATCAATGATTTGCCACAAGAACGTATATAAACAAAGTAAGGTCTGTTGGTGCGATCCGTAGCTCAGTTGGGAGAGCGTCAGCCACGGTATGGCGAGAAGGATATTTTTATATATAATTATAACAAAAAGTCGAGTCATTACTTGATGTTTTACAACCTATTTTTGTGTTATTTCACAAAAATAGGTAGTAAAACATCATGAAATTCCATAAACTTAATGATACTAAGGCCAATTACAGATTTTCTTAATTAGACTTCCAATTTAGCTGTAGCAAACATAACAATACAAGTATTGTATAATATTAAGTGCCTCCGTCATCGACCGGCTACCATGCTGGGCTGCAATGCAGACGTCTCAAGTTCGATTCTTTTTTTTTGTGATATCAAGTGACGGGGACGAACAAGTCGTGTACCTGGTGATAAGCTACACGCCTGTCCATAACAGTTGCACTGACACTCAGAGCTTTAGATCGCAAAGATCTGAGGGGCTGCCAGAGCTCCTGTCACCCTGAGACATAAGTTGACAAGTCCCATGTGCATGTAATCAGAACGGAGTATAATATATCTGTGGAGGATTAAATAAAAAAAATTATAAAAGTAATGCTCACATTACTCCTTGGCGGCAGAAATGGGTAAGGTGGCAATACTTCCCTGGACGAACGTTTTCACAAGGAGCTCTACTGCTACTAATTCCGTTCCCGGACCGGCTGAAATATTTGTATGACCTACATTTATTTCTCTCGTGAACACATATCTGTATAGACTGCAGTTTGTGGTGGTATATATCGAAATTGACAACAACTGCCAACCTTAGAGGTGGAATATTTTCTTCAAATTTAAATGGGACCACATCCGAGGTACCCTCTTTCCAACAAAAAAAGAATCATCAAAATCGGTTCACAAATGCGTTATCGCGTAACATATATAAAAAAAAATAAAGTCGAATTGAGAACCTCCTCCTTTCTGAAGTCGGTTAAAAATTATAAGACAAGTAAAACACTTTTGGAAAACGGTTTTATTATCAAAATATAAAATAATCATGGCGTTCATGTACATGCAACTTTTTCAATGGGACACTATCTGGTAGTTAAGTACAGTTGCGCCGATACTTGTTCACAAGTATCTTTATATATTACGTTCTCCGCATTCTCCATCGTATAAATATTCACAATCGCCTAGGCTGAAATATAATAAGAGTTATTTTTAGTGGCGTGTACAGCAATTATAGTTTTCGAAGATTCCTTGGAAAGCGCAGAATGACGAGCACAAGGCAGTGCTCCTCAGATCTTTGCGATTTAAACATGATTTAAATCTGAGTGGCACTGCAACTGTTAGGGACAGGCGTGTCACTGAACTTGTTCGTCTTGTCACTTGGCATCATAAAAAAAAGAGTGTGATAGAAATTTTAATGTATCCTATAACTTACTTGCACAAATTGCTAAAAGTACACTCTCTTCCATCTTTTAGTCCACATACAGGGCGCCATTCATGCGTACACTCGTATCCTTCTCGTGGACAATCACATATCCTTAGCGATTCGCAGTTTTGGACCGCCAGTGTAACCAGCAATATGACTAAAAAGGCTAAAAATTGACCATTAAACTAGGACAATTGGTCTAGAAAAGATTTCCAATACTTTTTGTGAATTTGTCATTTTACGGATCTGTTTCACAAAATCGAAAGTCGCAACATCGGTAGTCGTGGTATCGAAAACGTTACATCGACTTCAAAGCTAGCACGACATGCGGCAGAGCGCGACTTGCGCGTGAGCGACATTGAAGTGTGAGATGTTGTTAGGCTCCACTCACACTGGCGCAGAGTCGAAGCGTTATGTCGCGTCCTGTTTTTCAACTACAACGCGTGACGACGCTCGTATTAGCGCGCACGGGTTACAGTGTGGTCGGCGTCTGACGCCTTACTGCGCGCAAGGAACGCAAGGCGACACGCTGCTACGCGCGAAACCGCTCAATTTTAACCAAGAGTCGACGCGCGTTTCCATATTTGCATAATACAAATTTGTACCTTAATAACGGGAAAATAGAGATGAATATACTATACGCGAAAAACATGACGTGACGCGACGCTTCGACTCTGCGCCAGTGTGAGTTGAGCCTTATTCTTATGCAGGAACAGTACAGCGACAAAAATGAGACTTTTTGTCGCTCTCGCGCAAGTCGGGCCCTGTCATATTAGCCCTACAGGTCATTTCAAGGAAAGTTTGTTAAATCGACGACACTATATCGGAACGGTTACATTATTATTATATATCTAATATCTCTGTAGCAAATATTCGACGCCTGTTAAAATCGCAGAAAGAAAAAACCGCTATGAGATCAGTGTATCCATCAGGGAGCTACGATGCCACCGACATTCAAACCATATTTTGCCCGTTTGCCAGAACAACCTGTTATCTATACATCTCGATTCTTTAGAGATAACACATTGTTCTGGGAACAGGCGATTTGTATTGCAAAAACAAGCACTATGGCAGATATTCAAACCATATTTGTATCGCAAAAACGAGCGATTCGTTCTGTGTACCGTTTAGGTTCTCGGGTTTCTCTCAGAGAAAAGCTTAAGGAGACTGGTATCATGACTGGTATCGTGGCATCACAGTATTTCATTAAGAAAGAACATACCCATAATATTAACCTTAGAAATAACTCCAAAGTCATGGTAACACGGTTTCGGCCAACCAGGTAAACGACTCTTTTATGGGGAACTGTATACGTTTTTATAATAAGATTCCTGAGCATATATTAAGATTATCATTTCCTTTTTAAAGTTTTAAAAAAACTTTAAAAATATTTTGATTGAATAGTCATTCATTCAATTATTATATTTGCGATCGGCCGTCAAGCCATAAGCGAATCTTTTGAACGAGATAGCACGTTTTTGGTGGAATGGCCAGTGCAACTATAGAACAAGGTTTATGGATCTAGAAGTACTTCAAGGAGCGAGTTCGGGTGGCAGGGTAGGCTTATTCCGCTAGATCCTACCAGCTGTCCCCCCTGGTGGGGGGACAAGTGGATTTTTTTCTCACTCTTGCCTACCATATCTTCACTAATTGGGATAAGTGGAAATGAAATTCCCACCCAACCGTTTCTATTAAGAAGTACATTCGAGAATAAAACTATGGCAATGAAAATTTAACCGTTCTTTGTGCTTAGTTTTATGTCGGTCGATCTCAGCAGCTCTTTTAAGTGATCATAGATCGTTCATTTCAGTGAACCAAGGGGCATTGACTATTTGCCCTCAGGATACAATTCTGCACTGATTGGAGACAAAGTAATTCTTGCTAGCCACACCCCACAGCTGAATACCGTATATCCAAATAAGTTTTAAGACTGAGTTGTAGGTTAAAACTTTGATGTCTAATGTTGAATTCCTCCCAATGAGCCAATGTCGGTTACGATATTTGACATTGACTTTATCTCTTTTCCATTTTATATGACGCTTCCACGTGAGATGTCTGTATGTGAAAACTAAGACATTTCAGACAATCCGAATGTAGTAATGTTTTTACATCTTTTTAATTGCTTCAAACATATTTATAACTTTGCTATTTTTGCTTGTCTATGGACGTCACATGAAAACACAATATTTTACAAATACATGAATTACTTACAGAAAATAAATTTCATTTTGTTCTTTAGTAGTAAATTGTTAAAAAAAATGTATCGACTGCGATAATGTCCTTCTATGGAATTAAAAACGCGATGTACGAATATATATACGGAACGTGTTGATTATTCAAAGGCTGTAGCCTGTATCTATCGCCTCTAGATAATAATTAATAATCATAAATAATGATAATAGATAATCATAAGTATTGTGCATGGTGCCGATATCCTAGAAAGATAAAAACTTTAAATTACATAACGGCCATTTTTGCTTAGAATTTGTTTTTATTCAACGAACAAGTCGTGCGCCTGGTGGTAAGCGACACGCTTGTTCATAGCAGTTGCATATCACTCAGAGCATTAAACCGCAAAGATCCAAGCACTATCACCGCGCCTGTTATCTTGACACATAAATTCACAAGTCCCATGTACCTGTAATTTCACCAAATAAAATGTGTCAAGTTTCTGAGTGTATCCTTTTTTATAATACATTTTTTTAAGTACCGTTACAAACAACAGGTTATAATAAGGTAATAAGTTAAGTGTCTTAGTTGTTTTTTTTTAACCATATATTATATTTTAGTTTCATATTTGTTCTGTGATTATCAGGTACCCAGGAATGAGAAGCGCACGTTCATCAGTAATAAAAATTTTATTTGCATAAACGGTGAGTTTTGTTATCAATTTTCCTTAGTAGGCTCCCATTCCCTCACGCTGCCTTACTGCACCTAAATAAATCTCAATTATTCTGTGTTTTATTGAAATACAAATTTGTTATATCCCTATTGAAAAACCCGATATTTAAATTTTTGTAATAAGTTTTGTCTATGTGTTTTTAAGAGTACATAAATGAGTTTTATTGCTTATATACTATCAACATTTATTACAATACAGCGAAATTGGTTTCAATATTATAATGGAATTAAATAAATAAATAATATTTCGCACGCAATGTTGCATCGTTTGTAAAGCGCGAAATGACGTGAGGCTTTCATAAATATGTATGTTGTGAAAAGAAGCAAAATTTTTAAAACTAATGCGCTCGTTGTATTTTATATAAGTATGTATAATTAGATACGTCTTAAAGTAATATTTATTATTCATATTTGTAGAAAGCTTGAATACACGAGAGAACTCAGAAAATAAATAAATGCCAAACGTTTAGCCTTCAACTTGCCATTTTCATCTTACATTTTCTTTTTAAAAAGATAGGAAATTTTTCTCGATCATAGCCATTCTTTAAACATAAAAATAGCAATAAGAAAGAGTAGTTTTTCAAAACATTGTAAAGAGTAATTTATCAAGCAAGCCTTATCTCTACAAAAGCTTTATAAGAATATGAAAAGCGCAGTTTTATTTGGTTTAATGAAGATAAGCACGTAAGAAGATTTAATGATTGTCTATAAAATGCGATGTTTTAAAACAGTCTACTAAAACCTTTCTTAGGGAGTAGTTGTTTAGAGTATTTTATGTAACAATTTTATTTATATATTATGTAGGCAGCAAACGGAAAGAAAGCGGTCACCGTCGCCTATGAACGCCTGCAACACCAGTGGCATCACGAGTGCGTTGCCTCAATCCCCTTTTGAAGGACTCCATGCTGTATTCCTGCGGGAAAACCCCGACAGGGACTTCACTCCAGAACCTAATTGTACGTGGGCGAAAGCTCCTCTGAAATCGTATAGTATGGAGAGATCGACTAAGTTTCAGAGTGTGAGGATGGACTCCCTGCGTGTGGCGAGCGGTGCGATCATAAAATGTTGCTGTTGTAATCACGTCAAACAGTTCTTCAGAACATTGGCCATTGTACAAGTGATAGAATAGACACAGGCAGGCAAAGTCTCTCCTCCAAGACAGTGGTTCAATATCGTCTGTAAGCACAGGGTCCTCAACAATTCTCATAGCACGTCTTTGAACCGCGTCAAAGGGCCCATGCTGGCATCTGAATAAACCAGTAAAAAGGACAGTGAAAGTCAATTATGATAATGTCCCACAAATCTGTAAAACTATATGTCTATAACAGTAGAGCACTGGTGGAGATATTGAATTAAGTAGTTAAAGAAGACCTGGACCCAGTTATTGGCGTGACTAGGCTATGTCAAACATCTGCATACAACAAGGCGTAGTAGTAAAAACAAGTTCAAGTCTATACCGTATGTTTTCTTTAATACTTTTAGCTGTAAACTGCCTCTGTGGCCGAACGGTTACCATGCTGGTCTGTCACGCAGAGGTCCCGGGTTCAATTCCAGAGCCGGGAGAAATATTTGTATGGCCTACATTAATTTCTCTCGTGAGTTTGGGGGTGTTCTATGCGTGTGTCCATGGCACCCGCGACACAGGGTTTCCCTAGTGCGGGACTATGAGTGTGTGCGTTATTATCTATCATGCTGGATCAGTGCTGTAGCGACACCAGGCCAAACCTATTCCTATTGTATTTCTAAAGTTCGGTGCACACGGGTCTCGCAGTCACAGCAGCGACAGCGCTGCGTATTAGTTGTAATAGTTGTAATCTAGGAAAATGTTGAAGGCTTTTCTTTATTACAATGGATTCTTGCGCAAAGAGAAATTTGAGGCAAACCCGATGCTGTACTTTTCTGCGAAATCTATTCACGAGCAGTAGAGCTTCTTGTGAAAGAGTTCGTCCAAGTACTACCATCTTACCTATTTCTGCCGCCAAGCAGTAGTATGAGCATTACAGCGTTCATGTTTTGAAGGATACATACAGTCACGGTCGGTTACAGTCATGGTCAAAAAATTATCATACAAACGATCAGGAATACTTTACAATATTTAAAACACACTAAATTCATTAGTTGTCTCCCTTTATATAAACATGATCGTTGTTCCGGCTTACGCAATAGGAAAGTTGAATGGTTTCATTATCTTTTATGCGCGGATAACGCTAGATATAAGTATGCTCATATACTGGACTGTAACAAAATCATTGAAATAAGAATGCTTAGTAAAAATAGACGTTTTTTAATTAATTACGGACACAAAGTTCTTTTTTCAGAGGCAAATAGATTGCTACTTCAAATCTCAGGCATACACGACACGGAAATAAATAGGAATTTTACAAACCAAACCACGACTCCACGTTTGACAGAGTTCATTAATGTTAGTAACATGCAAACCTCTCTTTTTCACAAACCAAGTAGTCCACCAAAAATATCTTAGATTGTTTCATCAAAACATTGCCGGGTTTGTCTCTCGAAACAAAACATCCTAGAAGTTACTATTGCGGATTTAAGCCATAGTGACAATAGGCCTGATGTTATATGCCTATCCAAAACTAAAGGCGGGCTGTGAGTGTTCTATTAACTTTGCAAACTATAACATTGCTGCTAGCTATTGTAGGAGAAACGGATCAAAGAGAGGCGGTGTTTGTATTTTAACAAGAAAAGGAATAGGATCACAGGAAATCATTGATATAAAAAAATTGCCCAGGACAATGTTTTTGAATGTTGTGCTAAGTAGCACATTAGATAAGTATCTAACTTCATATAATTTTCTTATAATTTGTGTTTACAGAACTCCAGACTCCAATGTTTACACTTCTTTGTCACTTTTGGAGGGAGTGCTACATAAATATATGAGAAACTCAAAAACCCGTGCAATACTGTCAGGTGATTTTAATATTAACGCCTTAATTTTAACAAAGGACATTACGACGTATTTAATAGATGTCGCAAAAAACTTTAATTTAATTTTACATGTGACTGAACCTACAAGGCTTCAAAAATGCATTGACCACGTAATAAGCAACATCGACGGGGCTACGGCTGAACTTCATAAGCTTCAACTATCGGATCATGACACAGCTCAAATGCTACATATACCAGTCTCAGAAATTATTGAACAACCGTTGGAGCACTATGTAAATGTCCGGGATTATTGTTTGGAAAACATGAATACATTTCGTAATCATCTGAGTCAGTTAAATTTTTCGAATGCTTTTTCTCAAACAGATGTAAATAGAGCAATGAATTCCTTCAAGTTTTTATTGTCCTTTTTAAACTGTGTTTCCCAATAAAAAAAATTAAATTTACAAATAAATATAGAAAACCAAAATGGATTACCAAGGGCATTATAAAAAGCTGTAAAACCAAAAGGATATTGCGTTATCACCACTACACGGCAAAAAGTTATGAAAAGAAGAAAAAATATAGATTATATTCAAAAATTTTGCGACGCTGTTTGAATATGGCTCTGAGACACCATAATGATAAACAAATTTTACGTGCGAAAAGTATGGGGAAAGTATCGTGGAATATAATAATTCAAATTCAAATTCAAATTCAAATTCAAAATTTTTATTTCGGACATAGTCCATATCATGTTAGTAACAAACAGCTTATAGCCTATGTTAGTAAGACAAATTATTAAAACTGTATCAAAATTCCAAATTGAGAAATTAATTAAAAAAGAATATATGAGTGGAAATTAAATATTAAATTAAATCTAAAATTGAATAATAAAATTACATAAAATTTTCTGTTATCACATTAAATTATACACCAAGCCCCTGGAACCCATGTGAAGCGAGTCCCAGTGTTTCCATAAAGCGCAAGCAGGGTCCTCCCAAATTAGGCGAATAAGGCTGTTGGAACTAACACGCACGCGACGCATCAGGGAGGCAGTTCTCTTACGAACTATTACACCGTAACTGTCTGTATGTGCCTCTGCGAACATACCTGAGGCGCTACAAAAGCGCGGTAGCCCCAACAACCTCCTAAAGCCGTTATTATATTGGACTCGCAAGACGTTGACCGCCTTCTTAGTGTAGTTTGTCCACAGGCTGCACGTGTAAAAGGTCTGACAAAACGCCTTAAAAAGGGTGGTTTTGACATCCCCATCACAGCGCGCAAACCTGCGGGACAACATATTACAACGTACGGCCAACGCCCTGCGCTCCCTCTCTATATCAACATCGTCCTGGAGTCTATCTGTGACCCAGTGCCCAAGGTACTTAAAACGTGTGACTCTTCTCAGAGGAATACCACTCAGGTGTACTGTGGGAATTGACGTAAGAGCCTTGTTTCCAGCCTTAAACACTAAGAGCTCACTTTTATTAGTGTTGTACCTTAGACCATGAGCCACCGCATACTCCTCACAAACTTTCAACAGCCTTACAAGCGCACTGATCGACGGGCACAGCAGCACCATATCGTCCGCATAACTGATATTATTCACAGTCCGACCACCTATTGAGCATCCGACACCCGTGCTGCTGAGCCTGGCGATCAGCTTGTCCATATACAAATTAAATAACCTAGGCGAGCTGAGCCCCCCCTGTCTCACCCCACACTCCAACCTGTACTTGTCTGAGAGCACACCTCCCCATCTCACTTGGTTGGTCTGATTTCCGTACCAGTACCGGAACAGGTTGATCACCTCCATCGGGGTACTTGTACACTCTTGCATCTTATCCCAAAGAATATCATATGAGATAGTGTCGAATGCCCTCGACAGATCCAAAAAACAGGCAAATACCGGCGTTTGCCCTTTAGTGTAATACTGGACAGTGTGTTTAAAGCATAGGATGGCGCTTTCCGTTGACAGATTGGGTTTAAAGCCAAACTGGGCATCCTGGGTTGTTATGTGCTTTGATAACACACCGTCCAGCAGTCCGTCTAGCACTTTAGCCGCCACTGTTGCCAGCGATATAGGCCTATAATTGGATCCATCAGAAGCATCCCCCGTTCTATTTTTAATAATAGGCACAACCAAGGTCTTCATAAGGCTATCAGGTAGATGACAATGACTAATGCACAGGTTGAAAAGCATTTTCAAGACTCGAGGCAAGTGCGTCCCAGCGTGAAGGAGATGCTCTATACTGAGACCGTCATGCCCCGGAGACTTCCCTCTGGTCATTGATTTTATAGTACGGTCAACCTCTATAAAACTGAATTTAACCCTCCTCTCGGCATGACGTTCCCCATCCGAGACCACCCCCGATGACTCACCTAATGGACTCTCAGCTTTAAAAAGCGCCCCAAACATATTCGCTATCTGGACGGGCTCGCAAAGACCATTCACACTAGCTGGGTTACTAGTCCCTGGATTCATTTTGTTTGTGTGCCTCCAGAACCTGCCAAAGTCTTTAGCTTTGTGGTGTGTAGCTAGAATGTCCATTTTTATTTGAGTCTCGTTGTCCTGACACCACTTCAGCTTCGCCTTGAAAAGTTTTCTAGAGGCACACATATTAACGTAAAGAGGTCCAGTCACTGGCTTCCCGCACCAGAGCCACTGCTTAAAGCACTCTCTCGCCCGTGAATGAACCTCCTTTACGTGTTTGTTCCAGCCGACTATCTGCTTGCGCTTACACTTCCTAGTACCATAACACATTTTCGAGGCTGCCTGCAAAGTATGAACAATTTCAGTATATAAATTATCAATTACCATCTTATGCGAACTATTATTACAAAAGCCATCACAACATGAACTTAATTCTATAGGATAATCTATTTCCCTTAATTTTTCACAGCAGATGTCATTATATAATTTTATTTGGTCAATATTTCTTTCCCCCCAAATAATTTTATTATTATAAATTTGCCCATCATTAATACTATTAATATTATTTGATTTGTTTGAATGAAATTTACTTTTAATTATGAGAGGTAAATGATCCGACCAATAAACATCATAATTTACATACACGTCAGTAACTGTCAGCCAGGCCGCCTCTGTAACCAGGCAGTGATCCAGCCACCGTCTACATCCATGAGCATCGCTCACATATGTATACGTCCCCGAACCACTGCCCAACCACTCTAAATCGGCACAACGCCATTTTTGTTCTACACAAAACTCACACATCTCCGTATAAAATGGACACCCAGGATGAGCATTAAAGTCACCAAGGATAAAAACACTATCCGCCATTTGAGACTCGATAATAGCACTTACTTCACTTAGGCATTCCGTGAACTCAGGTAAGTTAATAGCGTCATCATTAGGCATGTACACAGAAAATATCAGCAACGAGCGACCCCCCACTCTGCCACTGATTGACGCCAAACGCGCACTGTTACACTGTATTACATTGACGGCCGTAAATAAACCCTTTCTCCACACTAATGCAACACCGCCATAAGGCCTCCCCCTCAGTATACCCAGAGAAGTATCCAC